TAGAATTATTCTATTATTTTTGTACAGTTCATACAGGTATATGTATTCATATATGGTTGTCTATAGTTCAGAATAAAAATTCAGGTCTTGGTTATTCCTTTCAGAAAAATAAAAGCTCCTCAACCCATATTTAATCAGCAGCAGCTACTGATTTTCCCTAAAATCAGTGCTCTGAATTACGGCGTAGGCACCTTGCTCAGGTGGACCACACTTCCTGGGAAACAATCCAGTCATGTGTTCAGTGGTCTTCGCTTCATCCCATCTCAGATGCCTTCCCTTTGACGACTTTCGCTTTTATCAGTTTCCAGAACTGCTCCATTTTGATACCTAAATTCAGTCCTATATTCTGCTTTATTCTGTTTACTGTTCTGCATGTCACAGGCCTTCCATTTATGTCTTGTCTAGGGCTACCTGGCCTCTCCTTTCCTACCCCAAGAGGCAAAACTTCAGCTACATTATTGCAAATATCATTCATTTCCTGTCTTGCATTCGTACAATTGTCTGTTTGTACTTTTTTATATTTCTTTTTTTATTTCGGAGTCTATAAGCTTTTTTATATTTCTTTTTTTATTTCGGAGTCTATAAGCTTTATATGATCAGATAACTTTTTAGTTTATGTCCCTGGTTTATTTTGTATACCTCACACAGTGCCATGCTCATAGTATGGCACAAACAAGTAGTGTTAAGTAGCTGACATCTGTATTTGAACTTTTATATATTTATTCCACAGATTGACAGCCTTTAAATTTTCATCTGGGATTTTGTAATTACAATATGATGTGAATTTTGGTGTGCTTGTTACATTTTACTAATTTCCTCCCATAGATTTATTTGTTTATTTCCAGACAGTCTCATTAAATAGTTCAGACTGGCGTTGAACTTGCTTAGGTAGTGCAGGCTGTGCTCCAATGCATGGTGATCCTCCCAAGGGCTGGGATTATGTTGTATTTTACTGCATTTCCCAGGGCAGACCTGCAAAGTAGATAGTATCATCTACCTTTTTTTAAATCAAAGAAACTCCTTGAGGTTAAGTAGAAATTCCCAAGTTACACAGTTAACAAAATGTTGGACTAACAGTAAAAAATTCTCCTTTACATTTCTCTAAACTTCTACCTTTTCTAGGGCATACTATTCACTATACAAATCTGGTAATCCAATGTTCTATTATCTGACTAATTTTCTTACACTTTAAATATCATTGAAATTATTCCTGGAAGAATGTGCTTAATGACTTACATAAAACGGGATAAAGATGATTTAATTTTTTTACTTAATCCATATTTTTGATACAGTTACTAGTTGCAGCACAACTGGGTCATACCAGAGTAGATCAGACATTTAAGTTCCCTTTATTGAAATAACTATTCAAACAACAAAACTCAATAGGATCTCCAGGTAGGACTTCTGTGGAGCAGTACTTAGTGGATAGTTGGATGTTTAGGCTTGGCAGGTATACATGTGCTGGACTTTTACCAGGGGAATGATTTCAATATAGAGTAGCCAATCCTAGGCTTCATTTTCAAAATCTTTATAAAGATCAATAATTTATGTAATTTTCTCTGGTCACTAAAAAAGAGAGGAGGTAAATTCTGATGAAAGTAGTTAGAGTGGAATGGTTTGGGTCAAGTGGAATCTCGGGAAGGAAATTTTTTATATACAAGGAGAGAAACTGGAACATTCTTAGCCACCAGAGTCAGTTTTGAAAGTGTGCTTTCATTTATTCCTGTCTTGAAAAATCAGTTTGCAACAAACTCCATTCATTTCATAAGTCTCCATAATTACCATCTATACTTTTTTTGTTGTTTGGGATCATTCATGTAATGCCAATATTTCCTTATTGCTACTTAAAATTTTACCTGTACTAATAATGAGCTGCCTCTATACATGATGCTGTATTATAAGCGTATTTCATATTAAATACAATACCCACAATAAGCTAGAAAGATGGACCTCATCCATTCCCATCCTGATGGTGATAGGAAAACAAAATTCCAAAATTCTGACCTGATTTCAAGGGTTATTTAAGAATCAGCTCACACAGCTAGCCTTCTTCCATTTCCAAATCAAAATGTCCTCTTTATTTCATGGTGACCTTGACCAGGGTTTAAACTAAACCAGAATATGCTGTGAATGTTCACTGTAGAAATGGGAAAGCTCACTGTAAAATAGTGAGCACAGTTGATTGAAAACAACATGGCAAACATTCAATTTTCAACTGATTGTCCCGAGATTGTCCACTTGGGTCCATGCAGAAATGAGACAGGTTTGTGCACAGCAGGGGAGGTACTTCATGCATGGCCATATGTTTCTGATTTTGTTTGTGAGCAGTGATATATGTAACTTAAAATAACTGGTATAACTGTTTCTTTCAAAAATTTCCCCAGTCCCCATTTATGTAAACAAAAGTACTGTCAAAGACTTTATACTAATAATTTTTGAGGGGAGTTTATATAGACTCAATGCTGATAGGGAGGAGACTATACCTGGGAATCAGGCTGTGCTTCTGCCTCCTCACCCCTGCAGGTAACCTCCGCACTGAATGCTTCTTGAGGTGGATAAGGTGTCTTGTCCCTCTCTACCACCATTGTCCTGGTCAGTGCCCACATTTTAGGTGACTTTCATCTCCTTGAACAACCAAAGCTTCTATGATTAGAAGAAAGTGACTCATCCTTTTAAATGAACATAGGCTTAAAATTTGGTAAAGATATTTCAAGAATAAAATAAGTTCTTAACTTATACTGCTCAGAAGATAGAATGGATGTGGCATTAAATGGAGAGAACACACACCCTTTCTTCTGGAGTATCTGTTGGGGAGCAAAGTCCTGTAAGACCATTGTTCTGATTAATGTTATATGTTATTAATCTCTCTGGCACTAACTTTAGGTAAACCAGAGTTACTCACCATGAACATCTTTTTGTTTGCATTTAGTTTATTAATCTTAAAATTAATCAGAACCCAGGAGATTACTGCAACCCTGAAGTTTGGATGAATTTCCCCTTACCATCATTATAATTACTCCATCTTAAAAAGAACTTTATCTTTGCCACTCTAATGAGATACTCTGCTTTGGAATAACATTAAAGCTAAAAGGTTTCTGATGAGAAATGGTGCAGTAAATAGAATAAGATGTAAAGTGCCTGGCATGATGGATTTTGTTTAAAATTGGTTTATGGATTAGGCACAATTTATGTGAGAATATTTATTAAGAAATATAGTTTTAATGTGTAATCACTCCTAAACTTAATATTTGTTACAGATTAATTGTTGGTCAGGAATCAACTTGCTTCTCTTATTTTCAAAAGTTACTCTCATATCTGTGTACTGAATTAAAGTCTTGGCATGTACCTAAACTTCTGTATTGTTTTAATATTGGTTCTCTTTGCCCAAATATTCATT